AAAGTTCCGTGGAAATTTGATTTTCCACGGCAGTTTTTAACAGAACCGCCGTGGAAAGTCTATTTTCCATGGTGGTTTTCAACTACCGTGTTTTATTTATCTTTCAACGTCGACTGTATCTATTGCGCCTCCAAAGCCGTCATGAAAAACTCTTAATAACTACCGTTAAAGGTTTTTTTTCCTGACAGTGACAATTGTTGGAATAATATGAGAGATCGAGGTTGCCTACTTGGTATAGTGCTTTGCTTGTCTTTTCTTTTCTTTTCCAGTGCATGAGAAAAAGAAGACGTAAAGCCTCAAGGGAAGTTCAAGATAGTTGAATTCTTCCACCGGTGCTACTTCCAAATTGAGTCCTCTCATAAACAGGAAAATAAATGTATAGCTACAATCAACGGTCCTCATGATCACCCTCAAAAGTCTTGGTCCTCCACTTTCAAAAGTTATACAGAATTATTAATGTGGAACGTGCTCATTTGAACCTTCATATTCCTCTTCCTTCCTCGATCCTTCCTACATGCTCCAAATTTGTGACAATGATGCTCACTTCTCACATGAAAACATGAAAAAGAAATGTAATAACTTTTAGTACTTATACTCTGACACTATGTGTATCTTTATTTTCTTATACATCATTAAATAATCGAAAAGCATCATCAGCTAGTCTTTATAGTTTACCTCATTGTTTGATCTGTTCATTTTAATCTATTGATTTTATAAAATTTTTTTTCCAAAAAATGCATGTATTTTAAAAAATCAGAGTGGGACAAATAAAATAGATTTCATAAAGAGTCCGTGAAATTTTATAGATTCAAATTGATGGTTTATACATTACTCAGGGATGGGATATACACACACATATGTACGTAACGAATCAAACTATAAGAACCCAATTCACACAAAGAAAATTACATAGACTTAGTTGAGGTAAATTATAAGGACTTGTAAGTTAATTTTCCTTAAAATCAATGTATCTGTTTATATTCAAAATAACATGTTTTTATCTACTTGTTAAGCATGCGACTCATACCATTTAAAGGGAAGAATTTAAACCGACCATTATCAAGACACTATTGTTCATAAAAATAACTTGTAAGTATGTATGTAAGCCTTTTTTTATCATCTAGTTATAAATTCTACCTCTTTTTGTTTTTTTTTTATCACCTAAAACTCACCTCGCCTGGAAAAAGAATGGAAAAAAGAAAAGACTGCATCATACTTTTAAAGAACGTAAGTGATATATAACTTTTTAAAAAGTGCAAATGACATCCTACGACCACAGTTTTAAAAAAAGAACAAATTATATTCGGGTTTTGCACACACACACATATATATATATATTTAAAGCAAGTCCTCTATATTAAAATTTAATGATTTTTATATTTATACTAAGTTATTAAATTTCTTTCCTATATTAATCTTATATTTTGCCTTTTTTCACTTTTCCCAACTTCTCATTACTATTCTCAATTTGAAATATTGTTTAAATCGAATCCAATCCACAAAGAAAATACAGAATGAATTGAGGCCTTTATTCAATTATTTAACCATATTTTTAAGATAAAAGCATCCTTAAAATTAAAAGTCTTAATCTGTTTCTTTGCTGCCCATGAGTATATGTAGGTGAGAAAAGTGACATGGACAGTGTCAGGCATATTGCAACCTGGAATATAGAGAAATATGTAATCATGAAGTGATAAAGGATTTACATGCACCTCCATAGGCCAGTGAATTCTCAAGGCTTTCACGTATTGTCGCTGCTATTTATCTCTGAGAAAAGAGACTTTTGTACTTGGATCGTTTACACTAATTGGTTACTTCCTCCGGCCTTAAATGTAGAGGTTAGGTAACTAACTTACAAAAGATTAATTAATTAGTTATTTATAAAGGAATATTTGTTAATTTTCTTACGATACACAGCCGCACTAAAAATACTTGCATCGATGGAAATCCACTTTTAATATTGATAATTTAGGAAAAATTATAAATTAAAAGACAAATTGAATTGAAATCTTATATTTAGGATTAAAATGAATCTCTCAACTGGCTCCTACATTTAATTAAGATAAGAAGCTTGTATTATATACAAACTCTACAGCATATGTTTATGCATGGATTCTTCTACAGACGGTGTTGATTATGTGACAAATATATAGCTAGTATAGAGTTTTCATCAAGCATTGACAAAGTATAAACTAAAGTAAAAATTATAAATTAAAGTTTAGAGATGAATTAAACATTACCATATTGATGAAAAGGAAATTTCCTGATAAACTCAAGACTCACACTACATAAGTACTTTACTTAGTTACTAGAAGAGAGATAGATCTCTTAGAAATGACGACCACTTATTTTCCTAGCTAGTAAAGCATATGTTTAGTAGGCCGAAAAAGATTCCTACAAAAGTAGGTCGAATAAACTATATCAGACTAGAGTGGGAATAATAGAAACACAAACAAGGGTATAGGTATAAAAGCAAGTGCAGAAATAAAGTTAGGAACCCACTTTGAACCATGACAATGCATGATGAAAAAGGCACTACTAAATGCTATCATCATACTTATTATAGAGATGAACAAAGCAACCAATCCAGATATGAGCTTCAAGGGTAATGACTTGCGAAAAGTATCTTATGCATAACGTGGGAAGAGGATAGACAAGAAAATAAGTATGGAAGTTGAGGATGAGATCATTGTAGTCGCATCAGATATGGCAAATATCAAGAATGATGGTTTCTGCAAATAATTAGGGTTTCCTGAACTGTCATTGATACCACCAGGTATACTAAATACAGCTGTAAACACTCCAGTAGTAATAAGAGTTGAAACAACCATGCATTTTTTTGATGTTTCCTTCATCCATGATTATGCTTCTTTTAGCAAGTCTTTGTGCTCCTTTGTGAAAAGTTGGCGAGGAGTCAAGCATATTGTATTTTTCTTCTGTATATATGACGGTAGCATTATCTTCTCCACCTCTTGCCATGTCAAAGAGTATAATATGCTATCAATATCACTATAGAATATATAAACTTTATAACAAATTGTAATATTATCACAAGTCAGTAGTTTATTCCTCTACTATAATATACAACCTACTCAAGTATTTTTTATAACATACAATACCTCAAACCACAGTAACTAAAGAGTCATTTGGAAAGTTGTTCCAAAAACTACGTTTAATCAATGAGGTGGTGCCAATCTTGCTGCCATATACAATAAGTTGTCTTTATATCTAGTATCCTCAAAACAAACTATGAAATCTTTGATCGGGCCAATATCATGTATGAGATTGAAGATATCAGATTAACGACACAAAACTGCAACATGAATTATGCTTCGATTTCTTCTATCAACTTCCCTTATTTAATCAGGATAGGTACTTATAAGCTCAGCTAGAAACTCAAAATTTCCAACTTCTACGGCATTAGATATTACAGGTGAAGGTACTCTTATGTGATTTTCATGGATTAAACTGTACGAATTGGCTTGAGATAAGTCTAGTTTGATTTTTTTCCTCTTGTAGAGAATTGAAAGAGATTCAAGTAGAATTTTGGAGTACCTCAATACGATTTTTATAGAAGTAGTCATGATTTTTCAAAATTAGACCAAAAATCTGGAATTTAACCAGTGAACAGTAACCCAAGAACTAATTGCAAATCTTCAATCTATGAGCTTGGTTCGTGAAGCGCTTGAACCGTAACACTTCCAAATGTGTATTCTGAGGGGTTCAAGGAAGGATGTGTATACTAAGAGATACAAATTTCCAAAGTTGAGCCAAGAAAACTGAAAGTTCCAGAATTTACCAAATAAATAGTGATTTTCATGGATTAAACTGTACAAATTGGCTTGAGATAAGTCTAGTTTGATTTTTTTTCTCCCATAGAGTATTGAATTTAGTGTCACCACTGAAGGTTTACTTTTAGTGGTGACACTAAAAAGTCACATACCTTTCAGCAGTGGAAAAAAAACCACAACAAGTGGACTTTCAGCGGTAACTTTTTTTGTTACTGCTAAAGGTCTACTTTTTGCAGTTTTTTTTTTTTCACTACTAAAAGGTATACTTTTAGCGGTGAATTTTTAGAGGCGCCGCTGAAAGTATACCTTTAGCGGTGACTATTAGTGTAACCGTTGAAGGTCTAACTTTCAGTGGCGACTTTCTAATGTCACCACTGAAGGTTTGGCTTTTATTGACGGCTTTCTAATGTATCCGCTAAAGGTCTGACTTTCAGCAGCGACTTTCTAATGTTGCCGTTGAAAGTACAATCTAATAATATATATTTTATTTTATAATAATAATAAACAAATTCAATCCAGCTCAATGGCAAGATGATTAGACACAAAAAAGAGGTGGTTACAAGTTCGAACCCTGAAGAAGACACATTTAAGGTAAAAATATTTGGGCGGTGATGTGTCATGAGAGTGGTGATGTGGCAATGATGTGGAGGCGGCTAACAATGACATGATGGTGGCTAGTGGTGACATGGCATCTGGTTGGTGATGATGTGGCAACTGGCAGCGATGAGGTAGAGGTGGCCAATGATGACATGGCGTCGACAGTGATGACGTGGTGTCAATAAAGCTAATTTTTCTTAAACATCACGTTCAATGGTGACAAAAAAGTTGCCACTAAAAGTCACTTTTGGCGGTGATAGTTTGTCGCTGCCAAAAGTTCTCTCAGCAGTGACAATAAGGTCGTCACCGAAACTAGCTTTCAGTAGTGACAAATGTCACTACTGAAACTTCTAAAAGTCATCGGTGAAAGTGTCTTTTAGCGGCGATCTTTTTTGTCACTACCAAAAGTTTTCAACCACAGTAATTACGGCAACAACTTTCAACGGCGACAAGTCACCACTGAAAACTTTCAGCAGCGACTTTTATACTTTCAGTGGCGATTTTTTGTCGCCGCTGAAAGTTAATTTTTTTGTAGTATGTCGTCCATAATCACTACATCATCATGTTTAAGCAATATACTCCACAAAAATTTTACTAGTCGAAGTTGCTGAGTTTGCCTCAAACCTGGGAAACACAATAGAATTTATTGTATGTAGTAAAATCACTATATCATAATTATATATTATTTGTAATTTGTGATCATGGACGCTTACAGGACTTCATGAGCCGCTTTCTATATCGTTGACTTTGGCAAATAGAACTTAAAGGCTTTCAAGCCAATATGTGCAGTATTGTCTCGTTTGAATCATCTCTCTCAAAAGCTAAATTTGGATGCATCTCTAGACACGTCAAGGCTAAAGCTAAATCTGCACAGATGAATATGTAAAATAAGTCATATATGTGATTGATACATGTTTAACACAAGGTATATATGATGTGCATCACACTTCGAATTTTATAGTCTTGTGTTTTTGTTTATGTATGTGTGATATTCTAGTTCTTACCGTAGATTTCATTGTTGACCCAGCAGAAGAGTAGTACTATCCAATCAGTATAATCATGAAAAGCCTGAATAGTTTCTGGATAAAGATGCCAAGCCCTGTCACTTTGTCCTTGTAAAACAGCCACATGAAGAGAAGTGGTTCCTTGAGCGCCCCTTATCAATGGGTCTTTGTTTTTTCTCTTCATGATCTCAACAATCTGCAGATTCCCAGTTGGTGTAGCGATGCTGAATGCAGTGTTCCCATTCACATCTTGCAATTCCAAGTCTTCTGGATTCACTTCCTTCACTAGCTCATCCACAAAGTGAATATGGTTCGATCCAGCAGCCACATGAAGCACCGTCGACCACCCCTTGGCTATGGCAGTGCAAGCTAGACTCTGGTCTTGATCTAAGATACGCTTTGCTGTTTTCCAATCACCTTTCAGTGTTGCTTTGTGAAGGGGAACACAAAACCGTTGATATTTATCTCTTCGCTCTTTTGAGACAAGTTAATTAATGGAAACATTGTCATATACACTACAAAAAAATTGACTTTCAGCGGCGACAAAAGTCGCCGCTGAAAGTACAAAAGTCGCCGCCAAAAGTTTTTTGCGGCGACAAGTCGCCGCTGAAAAGTCGTTGCCGTAGCAGCCGTGGCTGAAAACTTTCAGTGGCGACTAAAAAGGTCGCCGTTAAAAGATACTTTCAGCGGCGACTTTTAAAAGTTTCAGCAGCGACAAATGTCGCCGCCGAAAACACTTTCGGCGGCGACATTTGTCGCCGCTAAAAAGCCTTTCAGCGGCGACAAAAAAGTCGCCGCAGAAAACCCTTTCGGCGGCGACATTTGTCGCCGCTGAAAAGCCTTTCCGCGGCGACAAAAAAGTCGCCGCCGAAAGGGTTTTCTGCGGCGACTTTTTTGTCGCCGTTAAAAGGCTTTTCAGCGGCGACAAATGTCGCCGCCGAAAGTGTTTTCGGCGGCGACTTTTTTGTCGCCGCTGAAAGTAATGCCTAAGAAGAATTGGCTTTACCAATGCCACGTCATCACCGCCGGTGCCACGTCATCGTCTCCGGCCGCCACGTCAGCACCGTCGACCTCCACGTCATAGCCATCGGCGGCCACGTCATCACCGCCGACCGCCACATCATCACTAGCCACCTCCACGTCATTGCCACGTCACTCCTCCTCGCCACGTCATCGTCTAAATATTTTCATCTTAAATGTGTCTTCTTCCAGGTTCGAACTCGTGACCGCCTCCCTTCGTGTCCAACCTTCTTGCCACTGAGCCAGATTGAATTTGTTTATTAATATTGTAAAATAAAATATATATTATTATATTATACTTTCAGCGGCGACAAAAAAAGTCGCCGCTGAAGGTCCACTTTCGGCGGCGACAAAAAAAGTCGCCGCTGAAGGTCCATTTTCGGCAATTTGTTTATTAATATTGTAAAATAAAATATATATTATTATATTATACTTTCAGCGGCGACAAAAAAAGTCGCCGCTGAAGGTCCACTTTTGGCGGCGACAAAAAAAGTCGCCGCTGAAGGTCCATTTTCGGCAATTTGTTTATTAATATTGTAAAATAAAATATATATTATATATATTATACTTTCAGCGGCGACAAAAAAAGTCGCCGCTGAAGGTCCACTTTCGGCGGCGACAAAAAAAGTCGCCGCTGAAGGTCCACTTTCGGCGGCGACAAAAAAAGTCGCCGCTAAAGGTCCATTTTCGGCAATTTGTTTATTAATATTGTAAAATAAAATATATATTATTATATTATATTTTCAGCGGCGACAAAAAAAGTCGCCGCGGAAAGTCCACTTTCGGCGGCGACAAAAAAAGTCGCCGCTGAAGGTCCACTTTCAGCGGCGACACTTTTGTCGCCGCTGAAGGTCCACTTTCGGCGGCAACAAAAAAGTCGCCGCTGAAGGTCCATTTTCGGCAATTTGTTTATTAATATTGTAAAATAAAATATATATTATTATATTATACTTTCAGCGGCGACAAAAAAAGTCGCCGCTGAAAGTCCACTTTCGGCGGCGACAAAAAAAGTCGCCGCTGAAGGTCCACTTTCGGCAATTTGTTTATTAATATTGTAAAATAAAATATATATTATTATATTATACTTTCAGCGGCGACTTTTTTTGTATTATATTTGGGCAATATATTTTGTCGCCGCTGAAAGTTTTGGTTTCAGCGGCGACTTTTTGGTGTCGCCGCCGAAAGTGGACTTTCAGCGGCGACTTTTTTTGTCGCCGCCGAAAGTCGTCGCCTAAAGTCTATTTTTTTGTAGTGATAGATGGAAACAAGAGAGAGAGAGAGAGAAAGAGATGAGAGATCATACGTGTGTGATCTATAAGATTAAGGTTAGGCCTTCTGAAATGAGCTGAAGCAACCCTCTGAAGTTCCTGTGCTGGTATAGTCACAGAACTTATATCTGCTACGGCCATGTCCCTGTCAAGAAAGCACAGTATATGTGTGCTTTCAAAAATTAGTTCGCCTTTTTGAAGTGAACCTTTGAGGATAACTTTGGTTATGTTATGCTTGGAGCTAGCTATGGCATGTAAGGAACAAAACACCATTTTACTGCTCAAGGATTGGTTAATGAGTTTTTGGCTCTGCTAAACCCTTGAAACATAGAGATAAAAACTAGTTCTCTATTTATGGTATAGATGCAACAGCAGGCTGGAAATTCTTTTGAATAATAAAATTATACCTTTTACTTTATATATATATATATATATATAATATGCACCATCAAGTATATATACTAGACTTCTAATTATTCTGATTTATAAATGAATTAAACTTGTTATGAATAAAAATATTTTAAATTTAGTAAGTAGGAGGAGATTCTTAAAATTCAGAATTATTTATTAGAATGTAAAAAGGTAATTAAAAGTAATATTTTTGAAAAATCTCAACTGAAAATAATAATAAATAATATTTAATTTCAAAACATGTCGGCACATGCGCACTGCACGCGCATGTTGAATAAACCAATTTTATTATTCTTCACTCAAAAATGATAAAATAGGGGGGGTTAAGACATAGAACATGATTACTTAAAACATAGAAGTAGTTTTTTTACAGGATAATTAAAAGAGTAAAGATATATCCAGCACCTGATTTTATTTTTCAGGTACATTTAATTAGCAACTAAAGATTAGAGTACCAGATATAACTAAAAAATAATATTGGGGTATTGAATGGATCAAGAAAATAAGATTAATATACTAGATGCATTTGAGAAATAAGATTAGAACGTTGACCTAATTTGGAAGCATCTAGATAATTGTTTTTGGTACAAGTGTCTTAAAAATGGTTAATATAATCTTTGGTTACTCAAACTTGCACGAATTTTGGTTTTAGTCTCTTAAATTTTAAATATAGGTTTTGTTTCCTTAAAAGACAAAATGATTTAGGCTTTTATTAAATCATATGGACTAATATTAATTTTTCACAAGGATATTGGATAGTTACAAGTAAATGATTTGCGTGGGTCAAGGTAAACATGAAACCTTGACTAATGTACTTTGCAGTTTGTATTGTTTGTTGACTATAATTCATGAACCCAGTTACCATAAGGAACATGGGATTCCTAAGAAATTCTGCATTTTTTCTATACCTATTTGAATTGGGTTGACCAATCAAAATTTATTTAAAAAATAAAATCAGAAATTCTAGATTGTTGTATATTAAGATTATTGTATATATCAAATTCAAAATAAGTGTCATTTCATTATTATTACTGATCAGTTAAAAATATCTAGACTCCATAAAAAGGGGGAAAAGACAAGCTTTAATAGAAAAAATTGAGGAGTAAAAGTTGTAATTTGAAATTTGAAGGACCAAAATTAAAATGAGGATGAATTTGAAAGACAATATTAATTCAAAAAAAAGGTCTACAGGAGCCGCGCCATTATTATAACATGACGTGATCATGCGAACATTGCGCCCGAAGAGGAGCCTCCGCCCTTTTCTTCCTCGTCTTTTTTCTCCCCAGAATTACAAAAGCAGTGGAGTAGAAAAGCGAAGTTGCTGCGGTGCTGTCTAAAATTAATATTCAATTGAAACAAGATGAAATAAATTGTTCATAAATTGAAATAATACTCCCCCTTATCTTGTTTAAAATAAAACATAACATTGATTTATCTAAATTTTTTAAATAATTTTCTTAATTTATATAAAATAATTAATTAAAACAACACCAGAAAATGATTCAAAAGTTGGAACTTACTCCTTCGGTTCTTAATATAATACTCATTTTGTAATATTTTTTCTGATCGTTTTTATAACAGCCTTAAATTTGAATTGTTTTAGTCCTTTTCATAAGATCCTAATGGAAATTGTTTGAACATTTAATGACAATTGGCATATTATATTATCTTTCATACTTTTACTCATTACTGCTATATTTCTCTTTCTTACTTGCCCCTTATAAATAAGGGCATTCTTAAAAAAAAATTTATTTCTTACATATTTATTACTTTTAATTATAATTTTAATTGTTCTCTTAAACTGTGTAGTTCACTTACTTATCAAGACTCTTTAAAAAAAAAAAAAAACCACAAGAAGTACAAATTACACTACATTAGGTTTCATATTAAGTATGGAGCAATCTTTCTAACTTATCAACATGACCTAGAACAACGAAGAAGACGAGTATAGGATAGTAAATTTACGTGTGTATACGATGTGTGGACAAGAACAAGCAAAAAGCGCTGTGTCTCTCTGGTGATTCAGCCTCGAACGAGCTCGCCATCATCTAATTCCTAGAATACGGTCATACGGATTCATTAAACATCAAACCATTCTTTCTCTCGATCTCTCTCTTAAAGGCACAAATTAACCAACCCATCCAGATGAATATATAGACTCAGTAACCAGAGAGAAGTTAATTAACGATGCAGGGTGTGAATACCAAAAGCAACTTCGGAAAAGCTCAAAAAGTTTTCGATGTTTCACTTTCTTCTAATTGGACTGAGTTAAAACTAACAGTAACAGGAGAGAAAAATGATTTACACAGAGAGAGAGAGAGAGAGAGAGAGAGAGAGAGAGATCAAGTAAGAACTAAGAGGTTTGAGAGATTTGAACGAGAGA